TACTGCAAGAACAGAGCCTGAGACTCATACTCATAAGAATTAAATCTCTGCCACAGCTGAACACGGGGAGATCTGAACATAGAGGACGTGCATTCATTTATGCACAGCTCACACCTCTATAAGACTGGACAGGAGTGAAAGTCCCATACGGTTCCTGGTGTTATTGTGTTATTGCATATGGCATTGATTGGTGTGAAAACAAAAATCACCCACACTTGCTGAAAATCGCCCACATATTATCCACCCACCTAAGGCTCCCCCTCCCCACCCGGCGCAGTCAAAAGAAGCCCAGTGGGACGGGCACCTGCCCAATCTGGCAACACTGCAGTCTTATTCTAACCCTCAAGAGCTGCTTAGACCACATATCTGTGCTGGGGCATTCTGCTCCAGTACACGAGGAAAATTGGGTACAGGACCAATTATGTAAATCTCCATCCAATTTTGAAGATCTGTAGGTGAAATTAAAGGCTGACAAACGAGAAAGAGATGGTGGAGAGGAGAAAGGGGAGGGAAGAGAGAGAGGGGAGACAGAGGAAAAGAGAAAGAGGTAAAGAGTAGGGAGAGGAGAGAAAAAGAGGGAAAGAAAAGAAAAAAGAGCAAAATGTGTGTGTGACAGAAAGGGACAGAGAGCGACAGACATGAGGGGGGCAGTGGAGGAGAGACACAAAAGAGAAGAGTTGAAGAGAGAATTAGAAGGAGAGGGAAGAGGAAAGTGTAAGTGAGAGAGAGAGAAGTGAGGATGGAGAGGAGAAAGAGAGAGAGAGAGGTGAAGAGCGAGGGGCACAGTGGGCCCAGGTTGTGTAATAATTGGATGTGGGAGGGGGTCTGCATTAACCAGCTGTCCCCTGTCCCCTCCCCCTTGTGCTCCGAGCTCCAGGCAGAGTCCCTCACCTCATAAACTGATAAAATATGACGTTTTCTGACCTGCTTTTAGACTCATTGGATTTGAGAGCAGCTCTTGGATTTGAAAGCAGCTCTTTTGTCAGCAGCTCACACACTCACACACTCACACACATGGGCTGTATCTGTTCTACACTCACTGCAGTGTGATGAGACTAAAGCTTTTCCTCACATGGGGCTAGATTTATTGAAACACATTCGTGATTGGCCCTAAGTTTAATCACGTTCTTTATTTCATTTTAATTTGACATTTTTATATCTTTTTTGTTTTATAATAATATGAAAAATGTATCTAAATGAAACGTTGAGAGTTTATCTTCTCAGTTCTTGATCTGGTCAGATGTCTGAATGTTGCGCCTGGCTGGTGTTTGGACAGAGTGGGACTGCAGTGACTGTCGAGACAACTGCAGCCCAGCCCACTTTATAACACATTTCATATCACACTTGTACTGAGTGTGTGTGTGTGTCTGTGTGTGTGTGTGTGTGTTGTGCGTGTGTGTGTGTGTGTGTGTGTGTGTGTGTGTGTGCGTGTGTGTGTGTTGTGGGCGGAGGGGCTGATGGTGCAGATTGGCAGTCTCACATCCACCAGTTTACCCTATAAACTGTATAAAAACATGGACTTGTGGAGTGAATGTGACGTCACCCACAGTATTCATCTCCACTCAGATGAAGCTCATGATGCTCACGGTTACAGGAGTGAATTTGGAGCCAGTCTCTGTATTAGAAATAGGATATTTTTGATGGACAAAATAGCGAAAAAACTAAACTAAACTAAACTAAAAACACCAGGACCATGTAGAGCAGGTTAATACAAACATTTTAAGACCAAAATGATGAGGCTCACAGCAGCAGGTCCAGAGAGAAGAGACACAATGTTCAAATGTCAATCAGTGGGAGCCAGAGTCAGAAAATATCCTGGGCCGGATGTGAACTTCCCTTTTGGAAGGTGGAGGCTAGAGCCTTACATATGTCCATTTATATAAACAGTCTATGGTCTGCCCCAGGGCGGCTGTGGCTAATGTCAGAATGTGGAGTGAATGAACAAGAATATTACCAATTTTCAAATAGAAAGTCGACTTATTTGAATTAGTTGGCAGCTCATTTTCAAATATTGTGTTTATGTCGTTTGGTGAGTTGTTTTCTATTTTGTGCTGACGCGGCGTCACAAGCAGAAGGCGTGCTCCATGTGTCTGTGCCACGGGTCAGCGGCCAGTCACAGAGCAAGGACAAAGAAAGCATGAACAGAGAGAGAGGAGGAGGACAGAGAAAGAGAGAGGAGGAGGGAAATGGAAGAGGAGGAGAGAAGGAGGAGAGACGACGTAGAGGAGAAGCAGAGATGGAGAGAAAGAGGAGAGAAGAGAGAAGAAGAGCAGAGGAAAGGAAAGAGAGGTGACACAAACCGACTCAAACCTGATGTTTTCATAATGAGATTAGATGAAGCTGTTTCCTGACCCTGATCAGATCTGTCTTCATCAGTGACCTCACCTCCCGTCACACTGCAACACAACACACAACGTCTCATGAGCACACAAATCTCACTCTGTCATTTTTGAATAATATTACTCTTCAAATACCTCTTTGCTCTGGTGTGAGTCTGTTTGTCTTTTCTCTACAGGAGCTTTGGTCAGGCCTGAGTTGAAAGACAACACAGTTAATTATCTTTTAATCTAATGGCTCTTTTGTTCTTTGTGTGCTGATGCTTGTCTAAGTGTCCCTGTTCACTCTTCTTATCTGTGCTGTGATTGGCCGATGCTTTTCTGGCTTGCACACACATGACCCTGGAGTTAATGAGGTTTGTGTTTAATCTGTGATGCTTTCATTCTAAATCCTTATTTGTCTTTTGATGTTTGATAAGGAATGCCATTATTTTTCTTTAATTAGCTCTGCTCCTCCCAAGTCTACTTCAGAGGAGAATCGTTTCAGTGCATATTGTTGCCTTCTCCACCACTATGCCAGCACAGCTCTTCATTTCAGCCTTTCTCAGAGATTTTGGAGAGATTTTGCAGTTTGTGAATTTACCTTTTGGATATTTCATGGCAAAGTAGAATCAAAAGGGGAAACTGGAGTATAACATCACATTCTACAGTCTGAATAGAGTCATTATTATAAGAGATGATCATGCTCTTATCTTGTCAAGATACTAACATTTCAAACTTGATTTCAGTACGAAGGAATGGTATTGATACTACGTAACACCAGGGCTTAAAGTGACAAAAAATCCTGAGCTGGACATTTTTGTGCCTGGACCAAGAGTTTTCCATAGGCCCAATTTATTTTAATAATGTTTAATCTACATAATGATTATTCTAAAAAGACAACCAGCATGAATAGCAAGAGTTAGAGTTGTTAGAGACTGTATATGGACATAACTAACGGAAAAGCCTCCGCATCCAAATAGTAAGTTCACGTGTGGCTCTTCAGGCTCCTTCTGATCCTGGCTCCCATTGAAACACTGGCTTGAGCGTCCCTCTGGCTTAAAAGTCCCAATGCGAGCGTCCCATTCTCTCAGTGGGAACGTCCCCCTCCTCCTCCTGCTGTGCCCGGGAGAGGAGGAACGTTTTCTTTGGCCTTTAGTTGGTCGCGTCTCACACTGTGATGTACTGAGTTAGAATATCAGCTTCTATATCATAATAAAATGAAATGTGAATATACCAGACGAAATGTGGGGTCTTGTTTGTCATTTTATCAATCTTCCTGAACAAATTTTTCAGTATGTTATATTAATATAATCCTCATTTGCTCGCAGAAGTTTACAATGAAATCCTATTTTAAATAATTTTTTCTTTTTCCCCCTGTCCTAGACCATGTGTAACTGTTGATTTGGGAAGAAATATGAATTGTTTCCTTACCTGCTGCCATGAACATAACACACAGCAGCATAGCAGCACAAAGAAATTTAAAAAGCTACAGAATTTGTTCAAAAATCATTCAGAATCACTTTTAAGAACCTCTTAACTATGAGAAATTGACAGACTATACATAAAGTGTGTGCCAATTTTAACTTGCGTGTGTAATTAATACAATATAGATAATGTGTGTTAATTAATAGTGTACTAAGTACGTAAGTAAGATTAAGTACTTAGTTGGAGCGGGGCATTATGGCCCCTCTCTCTGTATCTGCTGCTGCTGTGTGCCTCTGCAATTCTGTCTTAAAATGTTCATATTAAACTGCTCTACATGATCCTGTTTTTTTTGTTTTTGTTTCTATTTTATCTATTCCTAACATAGAGACTGGCTCCAAATTCGCTCCTGTAACCGTGAGCATCACAAGCTTCATTTGAGTGGAGCTGAACACTGTGAAACATAGAAACAGAGACATCAATATAAATGATAGTACTACAGTGAAATCTTATATGTGTGTAATCCTCAGTGCTTCAGGAAGGTTCCATAGTGCTCCATGTGTGTATACTCGTCTATGTGCTCTTATGTGTTCTGTTACAGCTCATCATCATTTTAAAGACATTCAGGAACACTTCACTTCTGTCCTGTGTCACAGTTTTAGTTTTGATTAGTAGTTTTATTAGTACTACTTTTAACTTTCAACTTTCTTATTGTCCCAGAGGGAAATAGTCGTGCAGCAGTGTCAGACAGTAAACACACTATACAGTTCAAAAACGCACTAAAGCACAGCTTAAGCTCAACAATGCAGACAAACATTCCCTTAAAAATAGGCAAAAAAAAGAACAGGAGATGTAACCACATTTCACCACGACTGACCCGAGCTGTAAGAGCATTCATCCTGTTATGGCTTCAGAAATAAAGGAAGTCCGAGTTCTGTGCGCACTGATCCTCCAGTATTTGTTGGGCCTTGCAGACTAACTGAGCCAGATGATTTCTACTAGACATAGAGATACCACAGAACCAAGACACAATACAAAATGCAAGAACAGATTCAATAAAACTCAATAAAAAAGGCTCAGAGGAACATTATTGATGTTAAAAGAATAAATTTTCTTTTGTCTATGCTGCACTTTCTTGCAGATTGCAGTGTTTGATGTAAAATCTATATTCATTTTAGTATTGATTAGTATCTGATTTTTAAGACTTCTGAAAACCCTACTATCCTTGACCTGTTCTTTCTTGTTCTTATTTTTCCACAGACATAAGGACTGGTTGTGAGAGCGGAGGCTGTTGAAGTGGCCCTCTCCAGGGTAACGTACCTTCTCCAGGCTCGTCTCTGCTCTGGTCCACACAGGAGGAGGAGGAGGTGGTTTGATCTGGTTGATGAGTGGTTCCTCTTAGCTGGTTTTGGATGGGACTTTGAGAGATGGAGGCACCACAGCGCTGTTGGAGGAGCTACAGGAGACCCTCTGTCCT